GTTTTTTTAGATGAGTTACGTAATAAGGCTGTAACCATTAATTTATTACTATAATGTTGTAATATTTTCTGTTGTTGTGTGGTTTTTTTAGATGAGTTACGTAATAAGGCTGTAACCATTAATTTATTACTATAGTGTTGTAATATTTTCTGTTGTTGTGTGGTTTTTTTAGATGAGTTACGTAATCATGCTCTAACCATTAATTTGTTACTACAATGTTGTAATATTTTCTGTTGTTGTGTGTTTTTTAGATGAGTTACATAATAAAGCTGTAACCATTAATTTATTACTATAGTGTTGTAATATTTTCTGTTGTTGTGTGGTTTTTTAGATGAGTTACATAATAAAGCTGTAACCATTAATTTATTACTATAGTGTTGTAATATTTTCTGTTGTGTGGTTTTTTAGATGAGTTACGTAATAAGGCTGTAACCATTAATTTATTACTATAGTGTTGTAATATTTTCTGTTGTTGTGTGGTTTTTATTATTATTATTATTATTATTATTAAGATAAAAAGAATAGTGTAACTCCAGTCTACTTAATGATAGGGAAACCATTTATTACATTCAAGAACGTCGAGAGCCAGCACGAGCCCCGGGGCAAACATCCTTGCCGGGCCACCCTTTCCCTTTCTTTTTTTTTTTTTTTTTTTAACCATATTCAAGAATTTAATAAAAAGATCCTAAATTAGGGCAGATTATTATTGCAGTCGTTCTTAATGTATCAAGCGTCTATATGCAAAGAAAAGCCAAACACTATGTTTTTTATCATTAATTGAAAATATAGCCTAAAGATGCTTTGCAGATTTTACGGCATAACCAGGTTTCATTGGCCTGGGCTTCTGGGCAGTTGCCCCTCCTGTCGGCAGGCCTGATTACCTCGTCTACTAGTTAGCTTTACTAATGTTCACTATTAGGCCAAAGTTTACAGTATACACTGATACTACCATTTCACTTATTTACCAATTTCCCTCGTACATGCGGCGCATTCTCAAATATATTTTGCTTCCTTCAAACACAAAGTGAAATTTACATAACTAACTAACAAGGATAGATACGAGTATTCAAAAAAAAAACTTTCAATATAGTAATATTATGATTAGTTACGTATCTGATTTATTATGTAAACATACCTAACGTAATTTTCAATACAGATTGCCATTAAACCCCAAATACCAACCCCAACAATCTGAATATTGTTACGACAGCGGAAGTCACGTGACACTGCTAGCGCATGAGTGACTGAGTTTCTCGAATTATCGGGGAAGTTCGAGTGTGATCGAGACGCCTCTTTGATAGCCTGGCAGAAAAAAGCCGGGGGATGATTAAGCAAACAGTAGTCATGGTGAGTTTCAGTTAATTTAAGATTCTGTTTCGAGCTAGTGTGTGTTTTGTACTCGAAGAAAGCGAAGTTATCGTGATTATGAATCGCTCTGATTTATAGCGTGTATTATAAAAATTAAGTTTAAAGTGACGAGAAACGTACTGACTGTGAAATTACTGTGTACTAAAAGTTTGTATCGAGAAAGAACAAAGTGGTGCAATCAAGAAAGGACTTGTGTCGCCGAAGTTCCTCGGAAAGAATTTTTACCGTAAGTTAACAAACAAGCAGATACGAAACATTATCATTATGATTACAATTAATCATCTAATCTTTTGTACATAAATATATCCATCCGTAATTAGTAAGCTCTTCTTAAATAAAAAAAAGGCTAAAACTAATAAGAAAGTAGTCAATAGTTTAACATTAGTCTAATACTAAATATAGTGCGTACTTAAATGTAGGCTTCAGATCTGTTGAAGGTCTTAGTTTACTTTTGAACTTATTCCCATAGTGAAAAGAATGTATAACAGATATGTCTAACCTTGTGTTCAGGAAGATCAGACGCCAGTTTTTGTAGTTTAGTACTAAGTTGAAAGGCCTTCAGAATGGGATCACTAGAAGTTAAAATAATGTACACTGGGCTTCCAAGAGCATGATAAGTGTTCTTACGGGTAATGGAATCTCGTAATGTCTCAACATACGTGTGGTTTTTTGTACAGATAAAACGTGGACAGTCACCTGAAAGTAGAGAATCAAATTTTATTGACTTTGTGGTATTCTCCACGGAAATTCTGCTATTACTTGGCTAGATAGATAGTGTTAGATGATGTTTATAAATATTTCAATCCATTCGTGTTATTCATAATTCAAGAAAAGATATTTGATTGTTGATCGAGAGTAAAAGGA